GATTTCCCCACTTCTTTGTCATCAATAGCCGGATTTTTTATAATGTAATCGGCTTTTCAATAGTTAAATTTAGATCTGAACTCTTCTTCTTTTGGCCACCATACTTCATGCGGTAAACTTGCTTTACCGCTTTCTTCTTTTGAGCTCCATGAGCTTTGATCAAAGCGGTCTTTACAAAATTTTGATGATTTAGGAGCTACTTTCTTTATTTTGGTCTAAAATATGGTGGAACATGTGCCTCTTCATCAAACTAGCCCTATCTCCTATCTTTGTCATCCATTTAGCTAGAAGTTCCTCAAAAGGAGAATATGTTGTCACGAGATCTTCTCACTTCTTTCCACTGTCATGACCTTTACCTCCATTAGGACTTTCTTTGGCGATTGCATCCTCCTTCTCCCCATCTTGACTAGAAGTTTCTCGAAAGTATGCTTCAAAGGAGGATCCTCCATTAGCTTTTGATTTGATTCTCCCCATCTTGTGCATGCTCAAAAGATCAATCCTTGCTTTCAATCGCTTTTGCTTTGGCTAGAGAGATTTCAGCTGCCCCCCGGTGTCTTCTGGAACTGTGATAACTTTACTGTCCTTTGGAATATCTTCTATTTGCAATTCATCAACAACAACCTTGTCTTCACTTGAGGGCTCCACATCTCTCTTTTGGGCGTTCAAGCTTTGAGCTTTGAGTGAATCGGCTAATGCAAGCCAATTCAAAATCTGTTTGCCATCAAGATCAATTGAATCCATTGGTCTATGTGTTGAGCTTCAGAAAATCTCAATCGTCCTTTATCAATGGACGATTGGATCACTCGACGAAACACATTGCAATCAGAAGTGTTATGATCAGATGAATTATGCCATTTGTAATATGTAAGCTCTTCTAAGTTTTGAATAGATGGCAAAGCATTGTGATCCATGATTCTAATAAAATTATTCTTAAGCAGGATATCAAAGATATGATCACAAAAAGTAAAGTCAAAGATATACTTTGATTTCTTGAGCCAATTCTTTTGTGGAGTCGGCTTTAAAGCTAGGCAAACAAATGGATCAGATTTGATATCAATCTATTCGGACACACCATTGCAATTGCTTCTAGGAAGCTTTGGCTTTGACGAACTACCACTATCGGCCTTGCCATATGGAACAATGTGTTGCCCAATAGAATCTGAATTTATTTTATCATCAACAAGTAAAGTACCTTTCTCAATCGGTCTTTTAAAACTACTAGCAAGAAAGAATATTGCTTGGGAATTTGATAAAGTACTTGTACAATTGAAATAATATGACCATCTCTAGATGAGGACATGACACCTCATGCATATGACCATGTTTGGCGCATGGTATGGAAGGATAGGAGGCCAGCAAGGGTGTAACAAGTCAAGAATTCTCGGAGGCCCTCCTTTGAGGCTATCTCCATTAATGATGCGGTAATCACTAGATAAGTGTACAACCCTTTAGTTCCAAAAAAAATCAAGTTCCCGAGTAAGACTTGTTTTTGAGATGTGATCGATTCAAAAGCAACTCAAGTTCGAGTGATTGGCCTCTTGCTAGTACGGCCTCAGGACCAAACTCTAACATTGCCTTTTGAAATCTGGTCACCTTAGATTTAACTTGACGCATCCGAACTCCCTTTTCAATGATCCAGAGCATATGGTTGGAAAGATAATTTGATAATTAAACTTGAGTTGGGAGTCAATTCAATTATGAATAGGAGCTGGCGTATGGTGTTGAATTTTGAGAGTAATTGGCTAAATAATTAGCGTTGTCATAACCAATTCTCTCATGGTCTTGTCCATATATCATGAATAAAGATTTACATGCCCATTCAGAATAAGTTGACATCGAATCGACCATAATATTCATAATTATGTCATTATCAAAGCATCATATGTAACATATCTAGAATTATAACTAGTAACACCAACATGAGTTCATAGAACTTGCGAATCATAAGATGCATTTGCAAAATTCTCTCGTCCGTTGGACACGTGGTACTCTATGATTTAGTGTTTGGGCCACATTAAAATCGGATCACAAGGGCAAAACCAGTCGGCCTTTTGGCGGATGCAGTAATGGCGACAAGAAGATAAATCCTAAGACCTTTATAATCATATAACTGCCACCGTCATTAGGTTTTGGGTTTTGCTTAGATTAATCTGGTGAAGCACGGAGAGGGTCAAGATAACCAACATGCTTACGTGATTTAGAACCGGCTTTTTCAAGCAAACTAGCAAAGAAACAATCGAAGCTCTCATCGGTTTGTGAGACCCCAACCTTGGCCGTGAGGATTAATCATTCATCTACAATTTGGTTTGCTTTGTTTGATGATTTGATAGATGGAAACTTGTCCTCTCTTGCTTGTGTTATTTTCAAGTTTCCCACGAGTTTGGAACAGTTGGTAGGGATTAGCCTTCTTTTGCGAGGTCAACACCCAAGCAGGTTTCTTCAGGCTTCCGGATCCGTGTCTCGACTTGATAACCCCGACAACGAGAGAAGTTATGGTGCTAAGACCATCTTGCGAGAGGTATGCAATTGATCTTTCAATTTTGACAACTTCACAAATGGACATATCGTCAACAGTGTCCTTGAGAAATACTTCTTTAATTTGTACAATCTTTCCTCGGTCTAAAACTAATCTTCAGACAATGGAACGTACCGAAGGATTTTTATTTACAGCTGATCTTCATCTCTGGAACGAGCGACTGATGGTTGATCTGTAGCAGTGTTTTATTTGCTAGTTCGTTAGAGTGAACATGTGCCAATGCTGCACCAGTATCACATCACCTGCATGTTTAGTTTCCTGAGGCCTGCGCGGCATTCTCTGTCCTTGATCATTGTCAGCTCATGAAGCATATCTAAACTGCGCAACTGCAGCACAGATGGATCCCATGCATGCGGCACAACTGCGCAAGGTGTGCTAGTTACTTGTCTTCAGTCTCTCGAGGCTGCATTCACTGGTACTCGATGCAATTCTCATTTTTTTCATCCCAAGCAATTTTGAATTTGACTAAATCTAATAAGCAACATTAGATTAATCATTGAATATATTTTTATACTATATATTCCATAGTAATAAATGTTAATAATATTATTTTATAAACTTAGTTAAACTTAAAGAAGTTTGACTCAATTCAAACATAATTAAAATTGCATCATTTTTTAGACGGCGGTAGTGGGTGATATACAGTCAAAGATGTTGTCCTTAGACAAGCTTTACTTGTGCAGTCATTAGAAACAACCTATTGTGGCAGCTATGGACAAGTTTATAAAATTCTCATTTTTTAGGAGTCAAATAGTTATAAGTCTGACCAAATTTATATATAAAAATATACTAATATTTTTTACACTGAATAAGTATCATTAGACTAATAATAGAATATACTTTCATATATATATATATAGAGTTATAAATATTAATAATATTTTTTATAAATTTAATCAAGCCTAAGAAAGTTTAACTCAATCCAAATCCAGAATTACATCTTTTTATTCCTTGAAGCCAATATGTCCTCATCTACCTGCCTCCTTCCTGCTATTGCTGTTCTTGTTTCCCACTCTTCTTGTAACACTGGAGCCCGTGGATGGGCAAGAAGAGATCGAGGTGTATATACATCGACCAATGGTGATGAGTTATTGCTTCTGCAAAAGTATCTCTCTAATCCGAAAAGTGGTACTCTAGGCAATCTAAATACCACATTACTGTAGATGAAATATCAGAGGAGCCTTGGAGAAGCCCAATTTTATTAATAATGCATTTAATTTCACTTTTAACTTTAGTAAACTCTATTTAGCGCACATATTAATTGAAGTGGTTTAAACATTTATCTATAAATAACATGATTCATCCACATGATGCACTTAACGTACCTCCAACTCTAGATTCAAGATTCTTTTGAGTTACAAGTAACTTGGTGAAAGAAATTTGTGGATTTTTCACTACAAGAGATGCGGCATTTTATGACGTATATGGCATGACAATAGCTCAAAATATCACTAAATCATCTGGTTTGGAGATGGAATGTCGAAAAATGACATATTACTTGTAGTGTTTGGAGCTAGAATGTTAAAAAAAACACATTTCTTGTAGTGTTTGGAGCTGGAATGTAAAAAATAACATATTTCTTGTAGTGTTTGGAGCTGGAACCCTATCAACCAGAGGTTTATTTACTCACATACTCCCTCTGGGTGAAAATATAATTCAAACCAAGTCAAATCATCTTAACTTTGATTGAGTTTATACAAAAAATATCAATATTATTTATAATACAAAACAAATATTATTAGATTCATCATCATATATTTCATATTTGCATAGTATAAGTATTCGATGTCATAAATATTAATACTCTTTAGATAGTTTGATTACAGATAGAACTAAAATTGCAATCTTTTTCAGATGGAGATTGTAGTTTTCTATTCAACTTAATCTTAAATGGTAATCACACCTCAATTATTTGAATTGTTCCCATACATTAATTATTATTACTTGCTTAACATATTGTAACATGTGAAGAGTGCCTAGGATGCCAGATTAAATTCCAAAAGAGCGTGATTACTCATGGATAGATATTACTAACATATTGCAACATGTGAAGACCACGCACTGTCACTGAGTATATGGTACTATTATACATGATCCCACAGATCACGTAGGGCCATGTACGATCATCCTTAGGTCTCGTTCCGTTGGGGTTGGGAACGATTCCCAGCTGAGTTTCTTTTAGGCCTTTTTCGGTTAGTCAGGATTGTGCCTAGGAATCATTTCAGTTCAACAATGGTTATACAAATTACAAAGAATCCAAGTAGAAATAATTCCAGTCCTCCATTCCATAGGACCAAACAGGGCCTCAATAATTTAAATAGCGTCGAGATAACCGAACGGCGCTTTAGGATTATTCTACCATACATATCACGATCTCGATGACCTGGTCCTGATTCTATATCATCGTTAGGCGCCACTCCCGACATAAGAATCATAGCCGAGAGCGCCAGCACTCTGCAAAGCCATGGCAGCACCAACGGCGCCATTCATCGCCGCGGACAGCAAGGGGGCCGCCGCCGCCCACCACGGACGTGGTCGCCGCCACGTGCTACTGTTCCCGTTCCCATACCAGGGCCACATCAACCCCATGTTCCGTCTCGCCGGCGTCCTTCACAGGCGCGGCTTCGCCATCACCGTCTTCCACACCCACTTCAACGCCCCGGACCCGGCGCGCCATCCAGACTACCGCTTCGTGCCCGTGCCCGACGGCATGTTCGGCCCGCCCCAGGTCACCATCGAGGACACCTTTGCGCAAATAATCTCGATCGGCGACGCGTTCGAGACTGGCTTCCGGGACCGCCTCGCCGCGGTCCTGCAGGAGTACTCCAGGGACGCCGTCGCGTGCCTCGTCGCCGACGCGCACCTGCTGCCTGTCTTCGAGGTGGCCTCGAGGCTGACCGTTCCCACGCTGGCGCTGCGCACCAGCAGCGCTGCTTGCCATGCGTGCTTCCTCGCGTACCCGATGCTCTGCAAGAAAGGCTACCTCCCCGTGCAAGGCAGGTGCTGCTGTTTTTGGGTGACGCAGCACGCATTTTCCCCTCCTGTTCTTGAATCCACTAACAACGTGCTCGCGTTTCGTCGCTGCAGATTCGCAGCTTGACCTGCCGGTGACGGAGCTGCCGCCGTACCGAGTGCGCGACCTATTGCACATCGGTGAGGCCGGCCACCACCTGGCGTGCCAACTGGTGGCGCGCGCCGTGGCGGTTGCCAACATCTCCTCCGGTGTCATACTCAACACGTTCGACGAGCTGGAGCGCCGCGAGCTGGAGGGCCTCCGGCGCGACACTGCCGTGCCGGTGTTCGACATCGGTGCTCTACGTGAGCTTCGGCAGCCTGGCCTTGATGAGCCCACGGGACCTGGTGGAGACGGCGTGGGGAATCGCCGACAGCTGTGTGCCGTTCCTCTGGGTGGTCCGTCCAGGTCTCGTCCGCGGGTGCACGCCTGAGGCCAGCCAGCTTCCAGAGGGGTTCTAGGCCGCGACGCGCGGGAGCGGCATGGTGGTGCCGTGGGCGCCACAGGAGGAGGTGCTGCGCTACCGTGCCGTCGGCGGATTCTGGACGCACGGTGGGTGGAACTCGACGACGAAGAGCATCTGTGAGGGGGTGCCGATGCTGTGCCCCTTACTTACTTCGCCGACCAGATGGGGATCACGAGGTACGTGGAGCACGTGTGGAAGGTGGGCCTCGAGCTGCGTGGCGAGCTCGAGAGGGGCAGCATCGAGGCGGCGATCCACAGGCTCATGACTGATAAGGACGGCGCCGAGATGAGGTCGAGGACCGGCGAGCTGAAGAAGGCGGCAGTGGAGTGCACCAGCAAGGCCGGCTCGACGCTCATGGCCATCGATAAGCTGGTCACACACATCATGTCGCTGTAAAAGTTGCATTTGGCCCAACTGTTGTTTGCCTTATGATTTTTTTTGACTCTCTACTTGATGCTCAAAGTTTTCATATATGCTACACACCTGAAACTCTACCAAAAAAACAAAAATAAACCTCTTTGTTGTGCTTGCCTGAAACTGATTCATTGTTGACTGAAATCGGCTGAAATCTTGCTGAAATCCCGGAGACCATGAGATCGAGCACCAGTTAGCAGTGCTCACTTGTCATATATGTAAAAACAATAAAGTGCACATTCAAGATGCTCTCATGTTGATGCCAATATGCTAAACAGTGTGTGCCGGAAGATGAATAAAGAATAATCATCCCAAATCAGCTCATTCTTCAACTGTATATCACATACTAGAAGGTGCAGTCTGGAGATTCTTAAGAGGTCTACCAGACAAGAACTCTACAGCACACCCCTTGTGCAGTTTATGCTTCGAGTGGGCGTGCTTTGTCATTCACCTTTCCTCCATTTTTTTACTGATCAGAACTCAGAAAGCATGTGATCGTCGTGCATTGACACTTGAGACCAAGTCACTGTTCTACAAGCTTGTGTCTTGTGACTCCAACGAACCAGCACAACACTGCTACATAGTACTATTAAGCATCAGACGACGTTCCAGAGATGAAGATCTTGTTGTAAATGAAATTCTTCAGTTTCGCTGCCTGAAGATGATTTCTTTCAGACCACTTGTCTGAAGATTAATCGAGGAGATGGCTGTACAAAAAGAGAAATATTTTTCAAACACTGCAGTTTAGCTGGGGATAGCCTGAACTTCATCTAAAATTCATTCTGAAAGTTGACCTTGTGGCGAATATGTCGTTGCTCGTCATATATATGTCTGTCTTATTTTTATGTTAAATTAAGTAAATGATTATGACTACTGAAATTTCCATTTGGAAGCAAGTCACTGTAACGTGTTAGTATCTTAACCATTCACTTGTCTGACATAACACAGCTGAATGCATGTAAAGATTCACTGAATCACTCGTAGCATGATTTGACAAAGCCACAAAGCTCTATAATCTTAAAAAGATCCTTCACACTACACTAGAGCTGCTGAACAATGTTCATCACATATTGAATAATTAAGATAAAGAAAAAGAATGCGCAACAGTGTAATATAACATTAAGCAAAACAACTATATGCATTAATTCCTTTCGCTTCATACATCATATCATCTTTCTCTGTCAGGCGTGTAATCAGAAAACCACTCATCGTTTGGTGGTAAAAGACAGAACACTAAGCTAAATGTACATGTTTAGCAGACAGAAATATGTCCTGGGACAACGAACTCGCAGCCCTGCTCGGCCGGCTCGGCGCATGGCTGCTGCAGCCCCTGCTCCCCTGCGGCTAGGAAGTCTTCGAAGCCTTTCCACTCGTCGGTCTTGAGCAAGTCTTGGATGTTGAACTCGCCCAAGTCGCCGCCGTGCTCCGGCTCAACCTCGCCGAACATCACGGGGTCCACGCCTTGGGGACCACCATGACCATAGCAGGCGGGCATCGTCGGGTAAGCATTGGTGAAGAAGGCGGCGGGGTCCTGCTGCACCAGCATCTGCACCTGCTCGTCGATGTTGAGCAACTCACTGAAGTTGAACTCGCCGCCGTACTCCGGCTCAACGCGTGGCTGCTGCACACCATGCTCCTCCTCGCCTCCAACCATCATCGTCACGGGATCAAAGCCTTGGGGAGGTCCATAACCATAGCAGGGCATCGTCGGGTAAGCATTGGTGAAGAAGGCGGTGGGGTCCTGCTGCACTTGCATCTGCATCTGCACCTGCTCGTTGTGGATCAGCTTGGTTGGCGGCGCCTCGGGGTGATAGCCTGCCGCCTTCCTCTTGGACGATGACGACGACGACGACTTGAACTTCCCCTTGGCGAGAGACGAGGACGAGCGGTGCACCCTGCACAGCACGTGGTCGCCGCCGCCGCCCTGCGTGTCGTCGAACTCAGTCATGCACCATCCCATCCTGTCCAAGCGCTGCCGACCCGACGCCCCCTCCTTCTCCTTGCGGCCGTAGGAGAAGTTGCAGAACGTGACGCCGGGCACGCCTGGCACGGGCTTCGGGCCAGCCTCCGAGTGCCAGCACATCTTGCTGTCGTCGGGCTCCACCGCGCGCTGCCTGTGCCCGCTGGCCTTGCCCCGGGTGTTCTTGTATCGCTTCGGGCAGTAGATGTTGTACCCGTCCTCCGTTACGTCGGTGCCCGGCACCGGCTGTAAATCGGCGACCAGCTCCTCGGGGGCAGCGGAGCACACGTCGGCGAGGTGGATGAAGCTGCGGTTGACGGTTTTGGCACGGAGGGCGCGCAGGAGGGCGACGGACGCCTCGTCGGTGGGCCGGAACTCGTCGTTGGTGGCCATGCCGCCGGTCTCGAGGTGGTGGCGCACGGTGGATCTGCTAGGGTTCTCGCCGCCGGCCGAGAGGTGCGCACGGCGTGGAACGATCGATGGGAGCAGTGGAATCTACGACGATCGACGTGAAGGTGTGCGTGGCAGCGCAGCCCATGCAGATGCAGGTCTCGTCGAGGCTATCTCCGACGACACCGCCTAAAATACAAAGACATATTTGTCCTTTGGGTAGCGTTACAGACAAAATATTCCATACCTATTCGACATCTTCTCCAATAATAAGACTCAAAAGAGAATCTTTTTTGTAAATGGATTTCCAGGAGAGAGGATGCCCATATTTAAGTTTCAAGTACTTGTCTCTCGGGTTTAAAGAGAAACCTAAAATAGTGTCTCCCAGAGATGTAGATGATAATTGTGTCAATACAAAGTTTAAGAATGGATTTATCTTCCTTGTCCTGTATAGATGATATCTTACTTGCTATACTAACTATTTTGAGTTTGGGTGTCAAGTAGGATCTTTGTTGGCACTCTATTGCCTTGCCTCTGGCGCAGTGCGCATTTCGGTTTCGGTAGCGTCGGTCCTAATCTTCGTGATTCTTTGTGATTTTTTTTGGCTTCCGATGTCCATTAGTATTCAGTTTATTTCCGTGCCAAGTTCCCCTAAAAAAAAGTTCCGTGTCAAGAAAACTAACCGTAACATCGCTTCCGATGCCGCATCTACCGCCACGGAAGATATTTTAGAAAAGAAAAAACTATATTTTTTCTAAAATTAAAATTTTTCCATCCAAGTTTACCTATGTCAGGATAATATTTTAAAGTAACATTTGGTTCAATTTCAGTAAATCCAACTTACCCTTTAACAAGATTGATTTTTTTATAACTTCTTCTAGTATATAAGTTGAGTTTTGTTTTCAAAATTTGTGAGTTCAGAAAATACATTATAAATTTGTCATTATCATGCTTCGTAATTTTTTTTGTTTTTCTAGTGTCAATTTATTACTATATATGCCCAACCTTATTACGAGTGAATGTCGAAGGAGTAATTTGGACTTTGTCCTTTAGAAAACATAGGCTTTGACTAGTAGCCTAAAATTATAACTCTGTTTCCACGCTCTTAAATAAAAAAAAGCATATTATTTATCTAGGAACTAGTTTGAATGATATACCGGACTGAAATGGAGAACTCAATATCTCAGGTAAGCAGATGAGTACAGGGCGTTTAGTTGGACAATCTCTTTGTTAGGAAGCTGAAATTGCACCCAGCCTATATATATCATGGCTCCTGCATTCAACAATTGATCATTCAGTTACACTGGGGCATATATCTACTGTGAATCTTCATTCAGTTACACTGGGGCATATATCTATCACTAAAAAGGTATTGTGAATCTAATTATAGAGAACTCGAAGCATGTTAACCTAAACATCTGATCAGACCGAGCATCACAACGACTGGACGCCAACAAGGACATGATTTTTTGTTGGTTTTGTAGACCAACGTACAGCATGTCAGCATTCATATCTGATCTTTGATATAATGCATAAACAGATATAGGTAAGACATAAAAAGATACATATAATCCATATATCATCATTCTATCCACGCAGAGTGATGTAGTTCATAATTTCGTTTTTAGTTTGTTGATGAGAACCAGATCCTGCTAGATGAGTAGACCAGGAACAACACATCCAACAACAGTTTCTGTGTAGACACATACAGCCGGTTCCCTTCGGAAAACAAGGGAGTTGAAGCCACACGATAGGCTCAATGACAGAAAATATTCGTAAAACATGTCAGATTACAAACCGTTAAAAGCACTGGAAGTCAACAGAAAAGCGGGGCGCTGTGTTGTGTGAGAAAATGTACAGAGAAACCATGACTTGAGTACAACAATCCATTCACTGGAAACATGCGTGATTGTACTGATATACAACTCAAGCTGCAATAATAACACATCAGTAAAATTCTCTATAACATGGTTGTACCCACAAACCAGAAGCCTACTACATATCTTCAATCATGTTGTGAGCAGCAGATAAACAAGGCCTTTCAAATATTCAACTATCTCGGACCCACCAAGTTTTGAAATTCCAAATACTCTGTCGACAAATGTTATTGGAACCTGGAGAGGAGAAGGCAATCAACGATTCATTTACCAAAGTCAAGAGATGATCCAATATTAGCGCGTGTTTAGTTCCCACCTCAAATTTCCAAAAAGTGCTACAGTAGCCATCACATCGAATCTTGCGATACGTGCATGGAGCATTAAATGTAAACGGAAAAAAAAACTAATTGCACAGTTTGGTTGGAAATTGCGAGACGAACGTTTTAAGCCTAATTAGTCCATGATTAAATACTAATTACCAAATAAAAACGAAAGTGTTACAGTAGCCAAATTCCAAATTTTCCGCCAACTAAACACGCGCTTATTCGATGAAAAACGAGACCCCATAGTGGCATACCTCTTCAATGTGATAACCTTTCCTAGTAGCCCTAACAATCATCTCCATCTGGAACACATAGCCCTTGCTGACACATGAGGAGATTAAGTCTTCCAGGACATCTCGCTTATATAGCCTATTATGATATGCTCATCAAAAGAGGTGATTGAAGGGTGGGTATTTCATCTGTTCGAGATAA